AAAAACAAATTACACTAAGTGAGGCTTTATTCGCAATACCGTTCAACCTTTAAAGAAATATCTTTGAAGGGGGTACAGAAACAATTTTAAGAGAAATCATGACATTTCGCCCATTTGCGACGACACTGTGACATCTCGACATATACGATTTTTTGTTTTACCGAAATTCTGAACCGCGATCTTGCGTTCTTTTATCTCCAAAAACAGGGTATTTGTTACTCCAAAAACAACAATACTATGAGAGAAAGAGACAAAATATTACGTTATAGCGCTGGCTCGTTCGGCGATCTAGTTGGCTTCGACACTGTGACAGTTCAGTTGCCACCTGCGCTTTGAGATGTGAGGTGCTCTTCGTTTTTAAGAAAAACGTGACATCTCGAGGATACCGCGGTATTGATGACAAAGGTAAGTTTTTAAAATATTTTTATTTTATTCGACAATGTGGCACGTCATACTTATCACAGTGTTCTTCTAAAACAAAAAGCAAAGTAAAAGATAAATTATTTATATGTCACGTTATTCTTGTAAGAAAATCGAAGTATCATCGGGACATCTTAACTAGTAACGTTGTAGATGATGAAAATTTTTCCTATATTGGAAATATGTTGTAGGTCATTTGTTGATGTTCTGTTATTGCAGAATACATGTNATGACTTATATAAATATATTTTTTTATATCATCTACAACGTGACAACTGAACTTACCATCTTCAAAATATTATTTTTTACTAGAACAACGTGATAAGTTGTCTCTTTTTTTTTCAATCGCTATAATTTCATCAATTTAGACGCAAAGTTATGTCTTACTATAAATATTTAAATTCATTAATAGTTAATCTTTAAACGTTTCATACACAATTAGGTAATCCTAACCTTATTTTAAGAGTTATGGTCATTCAAAAGTTAAAAAGTCGATTTCTGTAAAACCACTGTTTTTGATATATCACAGTGTCGTCGCAAATGGACGATTTGTACTCACGTTGTCATAAAAATCAAATTAAAAAGTTTCTCATTTTGGTAATAATTGAAATGTTGTTATAACTGGCTATCGTTATAGTAAACTTGAAGGATAGGTAATTATGTAGTTTATTCGGTAGTGTTATTGATAAACACGTAGTCATTCCAGTGCTCGTTGTTTACAGTTATTGCGAATCCTTCACGAAACAAAGGCGAATCTTCAGCGGTGAGTTATCTGATTAGCTCGCAATGTCATTGTTTCGCTATCGCGAGCAAACAGCGCGGGCTGCGGTGAGCTCACGCGCCGCATTCCTGCAGTCGGGACCAGCTGTGGTGTGAAGCCTGTGGAGCTCCTCTCTTGCTACTCTGATCGACAAAACGCCTTTTAGGTATTGCTGACCAAAGCTTCTTTCAAATTAATTACTAGTAGTAACTTTTGAGTATTGACCGGCAGATCACATCTCTCTCACTCGAATATCAAACTAGCAACTGCCAATTAAAGAATTTCCTTTCATATTTATAATTATAAGATTTAACATCACTTTCAAGTAAATCTACGAGTATCCTAAGATGTCAACATAGCGTTTAGACCTTTCCAATAGTATTTTCTATAATATAAAATCTGCTTTCCTTTTCTAATAATGCAAAATAAAAATTCCATATTACAAACACCATGTACTATTGAGTTTAATGGAGGTGAACAGTTGATGACATGCCTAACATTGTATATTAAAAAATATACAATTTAACTCCAGAGGCACCTGGACGTTAATATATTTGACACTAAATTGACATCGTAATTGCTATTAATATTCATGATAGTCACGCGTTCTTTATGGGGAAACCTCGAGACGAGACGATGCGCTCGCGCCGTTTATGGACGTGCGAAATTCTGCAAATTCCTCACAAACACCGATCTAAAGTAAATGTTGACCGAGTGCGAAACGATCATCTTGTGTGCTTAACTGGACGTGGGCGCATGTCACGAACAACTAAAGAATTTTGAAAAAAGAGAGCCAAATAGTTACTTCTCATTTGAAAAGATATCATTGAAAATAATTTAATGTTTGTAACAGAAAAACTAGCAATTAATTAATATTAATGAGCAGTATTAGGACATTACACGTTATTATTAATAATGAATACTACAAGTTGTTTGTTGCAGGATACAATCAAGTGAACAAAAAGATCAATATTTTTTTACGCCTCTATCAATATGCAAGATCATTATCTTAAATACTTGTAATAGGTTATAATTTATTCTGTATACAGTCAGCAAAAAAGTAGTCTCGTTTCACGTCAGGTCAGAACCGGCGCGGGGTGGGGCCGGCGGGAGGGGGGCTCGCTAATGAGAGTTTTTTACACGCGTACTTGTCTGACGTGTAAACTTTACACTCATCTGCATAATTGATATTCTAACACGTAGACATAACAATGCAGAGAGTGGCATTGAACATTTACAAACAAACTCACAATTTAGGTGCCATTTAGAAATAGAGACACGTTACAATGATATTTCAAGTAGGCATTGTTTATAATTTCTTATCTATTGTGTGACACCTCATCAAAGTTACTTACTGAGATCTATTCTTCCTTTGACTGTATCAATTTTGTCTCGAGCATTGTTATAGTCATTCAATAATTAACTTATTTGATTAATCAGCTTGCACCAGCTGTAATCATATCATACAGTGTCGTATATCGTCGTGTAACAGACACTCCCGTAATTTGAAGTTAGGTTACGGGTATCTTATCTATCCACTATCTTATCTTAATTTTATATTATGATCGCGACTGTAATCGACTCGCTGCTGTGGACAAATAAACGAAAACTGCAAAAAACGTTACGTCAACTTGTTGATAGCCAAAACATATTTGTTTTACAAAGGTTTTCCGAAGTTCTTCAAGCTTTTTGACTCAAATAGAATTTAGTTCAAGACTAAGAACAATCTGCAAGGAAAATTAGTTAGAATGATCTGCTAAGTATTATTGAGAACGCAATCGAGCAGATGTTAGTCGTTGCCCAGATCTAGCGGAGGCGTGTGTCTATGCCCCAGCTCACTTGCATGTGTTTATTGGAGCTGCTGTCAATATACGATTATTGGTGGTAATTATTTTGACAGGCTCGGCCGCTCCCTGCCGCGGCACTCCCTGCCCTCTCCAGCTGATCGCGCCTCGACGTGTGGAAAGCAGCAGCATATTAACTGCAATTTACATTCAGTTCGAGACATTTACAGAACAGCTAAATCAGTTTACAAAATCAATTTCATCAGTTCAGCTGCGGGTATCAATCTAGATTTTCTATTCCAACATACATAAACCGAATCCTAATATTTCGATGCGTATAATGTCGTAGAGTCCAAGCGTTAATTAAGTTGGTCAGGTCAGGTAGAGGCCATTTTATTATATGGGATAAGTAACTACGAGTATAAAAGGTCCTATGTGTACTAAAGACGATAATTATAAGTCGTGTTTTAGCAATGAAGCGGTAAGCAAATGTCGCGCACCCTCGATTTCGAGGCGGTTGCAACTTCTTTTTCCGCAAGCCAGAGTTTGTACGAGTACATAATGACACAAAGGATGAACAAACAAGCTTTGAAAGCTCACCATTAATCACTTTTTTGCTACATTCGATTTCAAAGTTTGTCATTGTAATTTATATACCTCCCAATCAGGGTCCGTTTTTCTGTCTCGCGGTGATTAATGACGTAATAATAAAGCTCGTAAATAGATCACGCAATCCGTTTGATTGGTGGCCGGTTCAGGTTTGCGCGGTGTCGGGTTGCATTCGGTCTGCGCGCTCGCTGCACGTGCGACCCCACTTCTTGTGACGATCCAATACTTTTAAAAGGGCTCCTTTATAATATCTTCGTTCCTCATCCCATACATTTCAGAAAAGTCCAGATATTAATTCAGTATCTGTAAATAACATATTATATCTTACTGTCAGTCATTTGTATCTCAATACTTTGCAATAAGTACTTAATTGACAATTAACTTGAGATTTGATTTGAAATGAAGTAATTGACACTTACCCTATGGATATGGAAAGGATAGGCAGAGGCAGGTATAAACATTAACGATATCCTATGGATTTGATGTCAGACTTGTGGCGATAAACCTATTAAATGAATGTTGTCGATTTATGTAAGAGATCGAATTTATTTATTTATAGAATTAATAAAAGTTCCAATGTTGTTGTAATTGTGCTAACTGGTTAGCCCCTAACTAAGCTAAGCTTACCATGGTGACTAGACTAGATAAAGTATAATAGGTACGAATCCCAACTAATATTATAAATGCGAAAGTAACTCTGTCTGTCTGTCTGTCTGTCTGTCTGTCTGTCTGTCTGTCTGTCTGTTACGCTTTCCCGCTTAAACCTCGCAACCGATTTTGATGAAATTTGGCATAGAGATAGTTTGAGTCCCGGGAAAGAACATAGGATAGTTTTTATCCCGGTTTTTGAAACAGGGACGCGCGCGATAAAGTTTTTCTGTGACAGACAAAATTCCACGCGGGCGAAGCCGCGGGCGGAAATAAATAAATAAAAGACTACAAATGCTCGTCGTAGCCATGCATGACTCTCACTAACTTTTGTTCCTAATAAGATTCGAATCCACAATTTTAGCCACTTTTGTTTTGTAAGCGATGTATTATCATTTATCATACCAGATGTCATGACATGAGTCTTTGGTCAATAGTACATCCATACCTATTCAGGCAATAACTATGTGGTGAATAGATTAATAAAATGTAACAAACACCTACTTATTTACCTTCATCATGCTTGCTATGTTTGAAAATGGCATCGCAAATTACTGCTACAAAGTAAATAAATAAGACAAGCATATTTGCATTGTGTAAGCAAGTACAGTTAACGAGAACGTGACTTTATTACTTCCACTTTTGCGCTCTCTCCGATACTTACCTCGGGACCGCATGCGCAGCAACGTACACCTACAGCCGCGCACCACATCCACGCACGAGCGCTCTACTTCGGCACCAACAACAATACAGAAAGTGTTCCTCGTGGGTCCACTTACCAGTTTCTCGGATCAAGATAACTCGACAATGAACTTGAGTCGCCGAACCGATCGGGGCCGGCACTCGCGCCCGGCAACACCACAGGACTCGGATGCAAAAGTTGCAATGCAAAAAAACACACAGATCGCGACGCCGCGGCGTGCTACGGCGCGACCATCACACAAACGCGGCTAGAATCACAACCACGCCACTTTCGGCCGATCGAAAACACGATAAAAGCAGTTCTTATAAGATGTTGTATCAGAAAAAAAGGATTCGTTCGTGCGGAGCGCGCGGCGAGAGTCGAGGACGCGCGCGCGGGCGCAGGCCGGCCCGAAACTGATCCGACCGGTGCGCGCGCCCCCCCCGCCCGCCGCCCCGCCGGCCGGCCCGCGGCCGCCGCTCCTGGCTCCAGCGGGGAACATTACAAATCATACACAAATTCGAATTCACTACATACCCTATAAAATAATTAGCAGAAACTTTCATATAAAATGTTTTGATGCCTTAATTGATTTATAATAGATTTATACCTGACCAAGTCACCCCAGACTGCGTCTACTAAGCTACAGTAAAAATGCAATCCAACAGTAAAATTACTTTGGCTGAGTAGCACTAGGTACCTAACTTTGACCGTAACTATAATGATATCCGGTGCTTTTTGTATGGAGTTTGACATATTTTTGACGTTTGTTCATGTTAAAGTGAGATGGTGCAACAAAGCCTTTGTCTAATCAAAGAACCAGTATGTGTATACCATACTTCATAATAACATAACAACGATACCAGGTATTATTTATTTATTTATAATCTGCTTGAAGGCTCACAGAAAGTCCAACGCGCCAACAAGTTATACAATACAGATAATTTATAATATCAATTTCAATATGTAAAATTGTCAAATAATTAAAACGATAAATTAAATAATAGTCAAATAACATTAAATAAAATTAAATACATAAAATAATTAAGTCCAAAATAGAATGTCATACCTACATACTAATAAGAATTATCATTATCCCTAGTCGATTACACAGATCGAAAAAATTATGTAGCAATTTCTGTTAAACAAAACACTTGAAGGGGTTTAATGTTGTACAAGATTGTGCAGATCCTAGTACCCAAACAGTAAAGAAGCGTTCATGTCAGTGCGGAAGACTCGAACGGATAATAGGTCGGGTAAATAAATAGTTGATTGCGGCGCAAAGTTTACAACAAAAATATTTACGAGCGCGGGCGCAGCGGAGGAGCCGCGGCCTCATTCCGAGGGTGATATATTGGAGCGTTCTTTCTGAAGCAATGGGCACAACCACAAACTAAATGACTTTACATCGTCGTTGACGAGTGAACACCTCATAAGTCGTTTGTACCAAAAACACTTTTTAATGTAATAAGTAAGAAAACCTCTTAACGCATATTTGGAGCGCACCTATTACTAAAATCCATGAGTGGTCCCAGTCGCCGGAAGAAAATTGTTTAATTTTTACGCATCCGGCGACTGGGACCGCGGTCCCAGTTAATTGCGGTCCCAGTTGACGGAATCCTCATTCGAAATTCGAATGGAATGATTGTTTGTAGTGCCCTCTATCGCGTTCAATGAAAACCTCGTAAAAATATTCAGGGGACGGTTTTTTGTCTCGTTTTCCCCGAGGTTTTCACTCGTCAACGACGATATATGTACATTTCCATCAGCAATTTTGATATTATGAGGAAACACAAGGGCCGTTTTTCCACACAAACAAAGTCCCCGGTTTTCTTTTTGGATAATATGTACCGGTAGAGTCATATTTTTTTTCTTGACTATCTATGGTTTCTATTAGCATATCTCTATGATTTCCTTTTTTTTCATAAATTAATTATTAAAAAAGATAAACGTACAAAAACTTAAATAATATAAGAAACACAGCTCAATCCCTATTTCAATTTTAAGTAAAATAAGTACTTATGTAAGTTTTGATTAAGGAATCAGGTGAGTACGAATGGATGATTTTTGTACTTTTAATAGGTATTTTCAGTCCAAGTTGCAGTTGTCTCTATCGCTTTGGGGGAGGCTTGAGACTTGCGCGACAAAATATATTTTAGAAATACCTATTTTTAATTTTTCTACGCTTTGGTATTTCCTCTTAGCTAACTCTTCATGATCGGATCACCCTATTTGTTATCTTATATTGCGACTTAGTTTTAGTAAAATGCACTTCGACCCAATCGGAATCTTAAGCTCTTTTTTCGTATTATCCATAAAAACTCTATCTTAATTTATTTTAACGAACAATATACTGGTATTCAAAAGGAAACTGCAGTCTTCCTGTTTATCCAGTATATTCACCACATGCTAAAAATACATTATACAATGTCCCAAAAATGGAACGCCAGATTGACAATGAAGAGCGCTTAGATGCAGAATGCAGACCTTATAGGTGTTTCATTTATGTAGTATTTATTTACCTACTTATTATGGACAATAAAAATCTTACATCAATCGATACCTATAACTAAACTAAAACTAAGAGAGTGTAGATTAAAATTATTTATTGTTAGGCCACATTTTGTAGCACGTTTACTCGTATTTGCAAATATGAAGCGTCTCTACTCAATCAATTAATATAATTTTCTGCCCACCGCCTCACATAGGTGGAATTTAATCCGTCACAGCAAAGTTTGCTGAGCAAACCTTACTATGTAGTATTATTTATCATCCGTGGTAGTATAGTGCAGTAGGTCCTCCCAATAACTATAATTCCAAAAACTTTCATCCCCGTTTTAGATTTATGTAAAGCGAAGCCTACTCGTAAGTATATCCTTTTTAAACCAGCCAAAATTTTAAAAATTGTTTACAAAATGTCTATAACAAATACAGTGACATTCGCAATTATAATAATAGTATGAACTTATAGGTCTGGCGCTGAACTGATTCAGTGTCTGGGGTAAGGGAGCAGCATTGTCTGAGGTAAGGGAGGCGGGTGTGTTGTGGTAACGTCAAACGTCAGCTAGACTTCATATGGGCTTCATACTTGTATGGTCTGCCACGTCATAAATGTTATTTTATGAAACCTTTCCCGCGCTGCTCTCATACCTTAGAGACTGACTTAGTTATGCCCTAGAACTATAGTATTCTAACAATATGAGGGGTGTGAATTTCAGTTTGTTTATGACACTTCTATGCCCTTTCGTGAAGTACCTAAATAATATTTGATTCTCATGAAATAGCATCAGTGTTTTACAATTAAATTAAAAATAAAATAAACGGTAAAGTAAATACATTTTTTGTAGTAGGAAGGATTCAATATTGTAGTTATTCATTTCTTCTTCTTCCTCGGTCCCTCACTGATGAGGATCGCGACCACAGATAGTGTTCCTCCACAGACTGCGGTCATAAGCTGTGTGGACCGCACGATGCAAACTCGAATACATAAATACCTGAAAAGAAATTACAGGTTATACTTTCAGTAACATTTTTACTACAATTTATAATTTACATCGTATCGCAAGTACTAAAACCTGTCTTGGCCAAAAACCCTTGTACTTGCTGCACCGATGCTCTCTCGCACCACCCGCCCTGCCTGACGTCGCGCCACGCCACAGATTGCGCCAGATACGCTATCGCCTTATCGGTCAATGCGCGCGCGCCTCCGCGAACAGTGCTTACGGCCTTGAACGAAAGAGCTCAATCTATTTGCGAACTTAATCATAACCGCTTTAAAATAAATACATTGTTAAGAAAGGGCCGTTACTAATACGTTTACGCAAAATGTCATCCTGTTATTTTTTTGCTATGCCATTAGGCAAACCTCTTCGCCATGGTTCTATTTTGGGCAATCATTTAGTTTCAGATAATATGTACCGAAAATATGTATTTATCAATATGATAAGGTGTGCACTGTGCACTCTGTAATACTTACGCACGATTCCCATATTCAATCCTTGTCCAAATCCGGTTTTCGGTATTCGGTCCAATTTAATTCAGTCTTAGTTTAAATAGCCACAATTTTCGACGCATTTACACTTTAATATTGTTTCTTTTAAACAATAATGAAAACGTAAAAACATCGAAATCCGCAAATATTTTGACCAAAAACATATTGAAAGACAGTTGACAGATGGATTTGGATTAACATTGAATATAGAAAACCAGCATTAGCAATTATACATAGGACTGAGGAGACAGGAACTAGGAAGTGAATAATGGCTTCATGCTTTCTGTAATACCGCTGACATTTTACTTTCTACAATTATTAAGTACGAACCTTTCGCAGCGGACTATTGAATGCAAATGTATTGAAATGAGGCGCGGCGAGCCCCCGAGATCTGCTGACAAGGAACATCCGCCATATTGACCGACAATCTTCCATTCTCGCATTTTAACCAGTTAATCATTTATTTTTTCATTTTTGCGCTCTAAGTAGTTTCGATAGAAGGAATAATTATTTCATTGTAATTTGACAATATTAATAAGAATAAATTTAAGAACATTTAAAATTGGACTGGTAGAGTTGTTGTTAAGAGTCAAGAAGACGGCTGGTGACTCCAAACAACTTAAAAATATAGTTGCACAAAATTGAAACCACCAACCAGTGGATTTGGAGACGGAGACCAAGGTTCGTATACTATGTACAAAACATTTTAATACATAACTAATACATTTATACGATAATATAATACTAATTTCTTCGAATTTTACATTGCAGATCGAGCCAATGCAGTGGGATTACATTACACTGGTGTGGGTGGATTGAGAGTCGCGCGCCGAGGAGACTGACAAGATTTTGTTTTTGAGGTTTGGTCTTCATACTTTTTAATATTATTTTTTCCTCTTGTCGTCGTCTTTTCAAAACCTGATGAGTATAAATGACGTCACGTGAAGATATCACAGACTTGTTGCCGAAATAATATTCCCAGTTAAACAGATCGTTTCATAAAACCAATAATCAGTTTGTATGGTAGGTAATGTGATCGATCATCCATTTTGTGATATTTGGGGTTGTAATAATTTCATTTGTGTGTTAATGAATTAAGTAGGTATTTAACCAAACCAAAAGATTCTGTTGGTCAAACGTTCATTGGCGTGCCGTTCTCTTGGCGAACGCTTCATGAGTAAAGTGTTCTTTGGGCAAAAAGTTATTGGGTTAAAGATCCTGTTGGTGAGCAGTTCATTGATTAATCGATTGGTGGTGAACGGTTTCACAATCACCTAATCTGAATTTAGGTAGTTAACATTATCAGCTTTTTTTAAGTAATGATTTTTCCTTCTTTCAGAGCGGCGGTGGCGCTGCGGTCTGCGGGCTCTCGCGGACTCGTGCTGAGGTGCAGCAGCCAGGCGCTGGCGTATTATTACA